AGAAGAAGAAGAAAAAGAAGAAGAAGAAGAACAAGAAGAACAAGAAGAACAAGAAGAACAAGAACACGAACAAGAACAAGAAGAGGAAGAAGAAGAAAAAGAAGAAGAAGAAGGAAGAAAAGCAATAAGTGGAAGAGGAATGAGCAGAAAAAAATATGATACATCGTCTTCTGTCTTTCCATTCCACAAAGCCCAATATCTGTGTATAACCCGCTCCCACTCCCAGTGTGTACCCCCACCGCCTCCACCCAAACTCCCCATGAGTGCGCGTGTGTGTGAGTGTGCTCCTGCCTTGCTTCCCAGATCTAACCAACTTCCCGCCGCCCGAGACGCCAGACGATGACGCCATGTTGGATTTCACGGCCCTGTCCACCTTCCCCCCTCCCGTCTTCTCCTCCAACTCCTCACTGGCCAGCTTAGGCCACGACTCAGGTAAACCAACACAAGTGGTATCTCACGACTCAGGTAAACCAACACAAGTCGTATCTCACTGGCCAGCTTAGGCCACGACTCAGATAAACAAACACAAGTCGTATCTCACTGGCCAGCTTAGGCCACGACTCGGGTAAACAAACACGTGACACAGTTATTTTAATAGGTATCTCACGACTCAGGTAAACAAACACAAGTCGTATCTCACGACTCAGGTAAACAAACACAAGTCGTATCTCACGACTCAGGTAAACAAACACAAGTCGTATCTCACGACTCAGGTAAACAAACATAAGTCGTATCTCACGACTCTGGTAAACGAACACAGGTCGTATCTCACGACTCAGGTAAACAATCACAAGTCGTTTCTCACGACTCCGGTATCCCACGATTCAGGTATACAACCAAAACAGTTACAGGTTTTGAAATCGGAATGGAATAATCTCACTACTCAGGTAAAGAAAAGAAGTAGTACAGTTTTTAAAATCGGTTTCTCACAACTCAGGTATCTCACGACTCAGGTAAACAAACACAAGTGATGCAGTTTTGTTTTTTAATCGGTATCTCACGACTCGGGTAAACGAACACAAGTGGTACCGTTTTTTAGAATCGGTATGGAATAATCTCACAATTCATGTCAAGAAAAGAAGAGTTACAGTTACAGTTTGTTAACAGCCTAATGCCTATTCCCTGCTCTGTCGCAACAAGTTTAGTTTGAAATATGAAATATGTTAGCATTTTCAGCGCAAAAATGATGATGATGATAATGATAATAATAATAATAATAATAATAATAATAATAATAATAATAATAATAATAATAATAATAATAATAATAATAATAATAATAATAATAATAATAATAATAGGTTCCAAGCTACAAACACCCACCAAGTTTTTACGAGACGAATGAAGATTTGATACAATTCGGGGATTCAGTAAAGTACAGGCGAGCAGATACGTGTATTTTTGACGGACTAGGAAGACAAGAAAAAAATAAGTATGCACCATCTAGTCAGAAGATGTGCTGATTTATTAGAGTTAAGAATTAAATCCGCGTGGAATAATTTGGAAAGGGTGACGATGATGTCATACAGCCAGAGATCATGAGATCGATACATGAGAAGAGGCAGGTCCAGAAAGAGATGGATAGAGAGGGGCAGAGAAACATTTACTCAAAAACAATATTATAAATTATAACCATGCAACAGGCGATAAAACAAACGGGAGAAAGACGTTTGATTCTACCATCGACGTTATAAGGTAACAGTGGCTGGGGGGAAAGTAAAGTAAGTTAGTAGGTGAAGATGTCTGCATCTCTCTCTGACATCAATAACATCTGCCATGGCTATTGTCACTCCAGTAGTCTGATCTGTTGGTTTCATTGACCATATCAGACGCCACAAATCGTCTTAATCCTTATTTTATTCTGTTTCGCTAAAGAAATATATTCTCCCTCTTCAGACACATTGGTCATCTTCAGACTTTGACAGACGAACAATTAATTTGATCTAAATGTATAATCGTGTGTGTTTCATCCCCGAGTCACAATAATAATATAACCTTTGTAACAACCTCCTCTGCCATTGTAAACGACCAAGACACATTTTCTCCCTGTGAGATGAATGAAGATTGTCGTTGTCCTTGTCATAAATCATGTGCAGTTTTGTTGTGTCTTTTTCACCTTGTCCAAAGTCTGCTGCATTTTGTGATAGACTTCTTTATGATCCAGCTCCACCGGAGTCTTTGAAGTGATGAGAGGACCTAAAATAGACACCCGCATGCACACACCTACACACACACACACACACACACACACACACACACACACACACACACACACACACTGACAGTCGCAAACTCATTATGTTTACAATATTAGTATTATATTATAGAATGAGCAGATGCCGATAAAATGTAAAGAATTCCTTCTTCTGTCAGAAAAGTATGCGGATCTTGCTGTCTTCGTCTTTCAGCTTTCGGATTTGAACAAGGATATTAGATTGGATGTACATGTAAATTTGAAATTCAACAGTAAATAATATTAAACTTCCCCATCAAAGCAATGTATATCGTTTAGGAAGCGGGGTTTATCGACCCTGCTTATCTAGGCCAGTAAATCAAATGGCCAAAAGGGATACATCATTTGAGCGGACATATTATGTATTTGATTAGAATAAACATCTCCACTTTTGAATCGAACTCAACCCTTTCCGGCTCCCTCCTCCCAACCCTTTAAAAATTTATTTAGTCCCATTGCTGCCGCCCTCTCACCAGCCAACCCCACCGCGTCTATTATCCACTTCCTACGTCGTCCAAGTCGTCCCATCCCCACCCCACATACACACTCCCATTTCGTAACCAACCCCACCCCACCCACCACCCCACATATACACACACCCTTTTTGCAACACCCCCCAAAAAAAAACAACCCTTAACAACAAACAAACAAACAAAGAAACAAACAAACTAAAACAACAACAAACAAACAACTTCAGTGGATAATGGGTTAAGGCTCACAATAAATGTCACACATAATTCGGTGACGCGGCGTTTAGGTGGGTGGTCTCTGGGGTGTGTCCTTGAGCCAAACACAATAACCCTCGTTTTTAAAAATGTAGGCTATCTTTCGCTTTTTAAACCAATTAATGTCCCCACGGTAAAGAATAAAGTGGTATTTATTTATTTATTTTATTTTTTATTTGTTTCTATATTGATGTATT